ACAGAGATGCCCACCAGCTGAAATGCAGAGCTCTATAAATTTTCAGATGCTTCAAAGGTTGTCTTAATGCAACAAATCTGAGCAACAACAATTAATAATTTGTCACAAATTCTGACTCCCAATAGGTGGTAATTTCTTGCAGTCTGTTACCTTTTTCTCATCTTCAGTGTTTAGATACTTTATGTAAAAGATTATTACTGTCTGAACAGGAAATGAATAAATCATTTCATTTTACATTCTTATGTATTTATTAAACTGTTTATGTACTGGCTTGAGAAAAAAAAAATCAGTCACCTGCCTGTACATACAATTTTCATTCTTTTCAAGAATGCTTTATAATTAATACTGTTTGAAAAGAAGTTTTAAGCTTCTGGAAAAAAGCTTTGCTTGGGAGATTTTTTAAATGGCAGAAAAGCCAAATATATGCATGCATTCTAATGCAGAGTAGAATTTTAGGTGAGCACTTAATACTTCAAGTTAATAGACTTCCATAATTAGAACCAGCTGCTTACCCCACATCATGATGGCTGAACAAAAGAAAGCTAATTAGACTTAAAGTTTCCAGCAAAATATCAGAAAAAGCCCTGGTCCTTGCCATATGTCACCTGTAAAAATGAGCTTGGGGAGCAGAAGGACACTGTCCTATATTATGGGTGACTTTTTTCACCTAAGTTATAATGAAGTTTATTCTCTTCAGCACTGCAAGTCTAAATAACCCTGTTCCTTTAAAACTGCCTCTTTCCTGCATGTAAGAAACATTTACTGAGTGCCTAGCTATGTGCCAGTCTTGGGAAAATAAAAATGAATAACAAGCCCACATTAGTGAATCCTGTCTAGTTAGGGCCCCAAATGACACACACACAGCGCTTTCTTCAAGCCTGTAGCTCTGCTGGAGCGTACGCTCAGCACTGACCGCCTCTTGTTTTCTTTCGCTTTGCCTCTGAATTCAAAGCCTGCTGTCTCGGGGCCATAATTATTTTAACCGTTACTCTCTGCACACACAATATAAATAGGTTTCATCCCCTATCTTGTATCCAGAACAAGTGAATGAAGCACTCAAAACATCATGTTTAAAGTTAATGCTTATTGAATAGGGAGAAGCAAAAAACTCAGTACAAACGGTCCCTGATTCAACTGTGGCTTTTCATGTACCACTACCTGCCTTAATCATTTCTTGGAAAATGCAGGAAACACATGGTTAGGAGAAGAATGCTAATCCCCATCTACTGAGCCCGCCCTGGTGTACTATGTTTTCAACACGAAACTCTTGTTTATAGCTGTTAACAATAAGAAACATATTTGGGGGCATATATGTGATTGTTTATTAGTCTTTGTACGGCTATGGGTCTAAATATGTAATATTAAACAAACAGCAAGATTCAAAACAGCCAATCTGCCAATAAAATCTAAATTATGAATGGATTGACGTATACCCTACCACAGCCTGAGGTATGCATGCTGGGCAAACGATGCTTTTTCCGTGTGAAACAGCAACCACTGTTCTTGGAGAAGCAGAACGTTCTTCCATGTACAGGCAGGAAAG